TTTTACAGAATATTAATATATTTAAAGCATTAAAATACAACAATACTTTTATTCAACCATCACAACTGATTGCTCAACATGCAGAGTTCAAATTATTCTTTAGAACACATCAAACATTTATTACAATTACAAACAAATTAAAATTATTTACATCAATCATGCCCAAGTGATACTAAAACACTACTTTTATTATTATTATTATTATTATTATTATTATTATTAGTATCTAAAAAACATTACCAAGTTATTTCTTCCATTGATTTTATCTTCTAAAATTTTATAATCATTTAGTATCTAACTTATGATTATATAGTACTTTGGATAAAAATAATAGCTCGTAGTTATGTACTAAATATTAATAATTATAAAAATCTCTGAATAATTAAATTTTCTTTGCAACACTAGTCATGTAAATAAATCAAACACTTCTAAACATTTATATATGACCAGTTAAGAATTTTAATGAAATATGTTTAATGTAAGACAAATGTTTTGATCTATATCTAAGATCTGCTTCAGGTCTGTTTTTTTCTCCTTTCTACATTGGAATATTTGAAAAAACAATGACAAATTACAAATTTTCTTTTTAAGATTACATTTGAAAATTATCCAAGGAGACTGCATTCAAGAAGTTATGTGCAAAATTTATGTAATGTCTGTAAATGCAGCTGTATGATGGTACACATGCAATATTAATATACAAATATTTATGATTTTATGATTATTTTCCACGAGTTGGATTAGGATTGTCATAATATGCCTGTCATGGATAGGAGAAGATTTTTTCTTCTTTGAAATTGATGCATTCCCCTTTCATATCAGCTTTCAAAATTTCTAAAGTCTGTATTGTTCTAATCTGATTTGTACGAAGGATGCATTTTATGAAGCTGGCTTGGTATAGTTTTGATTCTAAGTCATTTTAAGAAGCAAATGTAGATAGAGTAGTGGAATTTTTTTTCTATTTCATACTTGTGCTCAGCCAATCTTTTGTTCAGGGATTATTTGGTTGATCCAATATAAACTAAATTCTTCTGAAACCTTTTGTCCCATATCAGGATACTATATATTCCAGATATTCTATTGATGTTGATGGCATTCTTGCAATTCAGAGTAATTTATATATGGAGGGGTTATGTCAGTATGCTGTTTGAGTACCCATTTTTTGCTATTTCTTTGTATAATATCTGCATTTTACAGTCATACTCAATCACTACATGGTTTTGGTTATTCGTGTGCATATTAATTTTAAATGAGTTTTCATTTAGATATGTAAAAAGATCCATAATTTTTCATCATTTTTTTTTAAATATTCCAATACAGAACAGAGAACAAACACAGACCTGAAGCAGATTTAGATCAAAAATGTTTGTCTTTAACATATTTAATTTAAATACTTAACTGGTGCTATAAAGGTTTTGAAGTGTTTCAATAATTAAATTAAGGAATTATGAATTTTAACTGTGGGCAGGTTTGTTATCATCTATTAATATCAAACTTGAATTAATTTAACTTAATTTAATTTTTTAGATGTATCAAAAGTTATGAATTATTATCATCCTCAGTAGATGATGATAATTACGATGATCTCATCAGTAGATGATGACACATCAAACTTCGAGTCATATTTGTTAATTCATTAATTAAATAAATCAGATCAATTCATTTCTAACCTTGAGTGACTTGGCCAAATATTGTTAAAATGCAAACTAACTGATTTTATATAAACAAAATTTAAAAATTCTATTTTAATCAATTATAAAAAAAGTAAGAATTAGAGAACACTTTTACTGATTATTATTGTTTTTATTAGGAGGTTGTCATTTAATAAAGCTATAATCAAATGTATAGATTTTAACAGATGTAAACAATATATGAAAATAAGTTTAATTTTTGAATTGTGACCAATTTAATTGTTGACAGTTAATTATTAATGAGAATAATAACCAACCTAGAAAGTTAAACCAATTTTAAATTTTAAACAAAAAACAGGGGGGGAAAGAATCAGCAAAAAGATTTATTCTTATTGTTGATAGAAAAAATACATATATGATTTTTTATATGAAATGATTTTTTCTAAAATGCTAATTTTTAAGTTCCTTTTATTAAACTTACATATATTAATTCTATTATAATAAATGTACTAATACATATTTTAAGAAACTTAAATTTTCCTTATAGAAATTTTTAAAATTTAAATTTTAAAAGTTTTAAAAATCAGTAACTACTGAAATTATTTCTAATATTCAAAATGCTATTTATTTTATAAATACTAAACAAAATTTTTTTTGAGATTTTTACATACTTTAATTCAAAAAGCAAAGTTTATCTACAATATGATAACAAAATTAATTATTAAAACATAAAACTGATTTTCAAATAAATATACTGTTATATATTCAGTCACAAAACAATAATTTTGATTTCAACAAATTAATCAACAAGATTCAAAATTTGTTTAGTTGTATAATGTTTCCATTTTAAAAAAAACTTTTGAAATAGTTTTGTTATTGTTTGGATACAAAATTTATTTAATTTTCCAAATTAAGAGATCAACTTAGATATGAAATAATGATTTCAGAAAGTTATGTTTCAAAAACATGGTGAATTACAAACATCAAAACTATCAAATACTTTTATCAATTAGTTTAAAGACATCAAACATAAAAAGAAATTGATAGTCTGCCTTCTTATATAAAAGTATTATAATAATGAATTTTCCTTATTATTCTGATATATTTATAAAACTAATTACATTTCAATTAAAATATGATAAATATAATAAGCCTGAGTAAATTAAGTTATTTTTTGTAATGTGTTTTCTTATAAAAATAATAAAATTAAATAAATACATTTAATATTCATTTATAAATATATTATATATATATATATATATATATATATAACCTATTGTTTAAAGAGATTCTATGNATTAATGTTGAATACAAATATTTTTTGACATATACTATTAAAAATTTTTTAAACTATAATTTTATATTAGAAAATTATTAAAAGTTTATATATTAAAAGAGTAAATATATATAAATTATTCTTATTCTGTTACTTAAGAATGAAAGATATAAATTGATACAATGACTGACCTTCAATCTGTAGCATTCAAAACCCAAAATACTTGAATAACATAAAATAATACATAAGATATAAAATACAAAGAACCAAAAATCAGAATTAATCACCTGATCCATTGATATGTGAAGCAAATATTAAACCACATTACATTTTGTTTAAATTGTATAAAAAATTGATAATATAACTGCTTTCATCTTGTGTATGATTTTTTTCATCAAAACAAGAAAAGATATGAACTTAATATTGTACAAGCAACATGTCATACACATAACATAACAGATCATGTTGATTCTGATATTAACAGCATCTCATTTAGAATTCTAAAGCTCAAAATGTAAGAAAATATCCATTATTCTTCATTGAACTTGCATCATTAAAACTGTTGTAATGCATATTGTTTGTAAATATATTACAAAGCAATGCAATTACATTGATTTAATTAAATAATGGTTTTATACTTAAAACAAAATAGTTAACATGATATTTTAATAATATAATTAACTTACCATAAAGATATAATCTTTTTCAAAATTTGCATTTATTCATAACTACATAATTTGATTAAAATGGAACATAATTAAATACACTCCTTTATAATAATAACAATGTTATTCCCACTGGTTATGTTTCTTTATGAGAAAATTGTCCTGGATATATTTTAATCTTATGATACTAAGATATGTACTAATACTATTCAATTATTCAATGTAAGGATAGAAATGTTAAAAATATCAAAAGATTTAAATTAAATAAATTATTGTGATGATTTGCATAATATTTAAAAATTTTTTTGATCTTTTAATAAGTCTACAACATACAGCTATTAAAATTTTAATATTTTCATTAAAAGCAAAATGAATAAGTACATTGTCAAAACATTTGTTGAAAGCCAGCTGTTTATTCAAAATGATTAATTTTAATAATTTAATTTAAATTAATTCTAAACCAACTTAGAGGATAACATAAAATGAAATAATGATATGTTTTAGTCAGTTCAAATGAAAAACATGCTTCAAAATACATTAAGATTTTATATCCCAGTCAAATTAATTGTGAATATAAAATTCTGTGGTAATTTTTGTATATTCATTAATGAAAATTCTGTGTAATTTACATGATGTTACTTTTATTTCTTAATGTTTTGTTTTAAAAATTTTACTTATTACTTAAATATTATAGAACAAAATAACAAATGTATAAAAAAAATTAATATGCAATCAATGAAAAATCTAAATATTATAATTTTAAATAGTTTATTATAATTAATATTAATTCTAATATGATATAATTATAACTGTTTCTGATTAAAAAAAATATAGCACATTTATAAAATATCTTTAATTATATACCAAACACACCACCAAACCTAAATTATATAAAATAAATCAAACCTATTTACCTATTAATTAAATAAGAAAATAAACCACAGTTACAAAAGTAAACATTTTTTTTTTCACTCAAAACAAACATTATCAGTTTCATTGAATTACCTTATTGAGTACAGAATCTTATGATGCTTTTCTAATGAAATTGAAAACATATGTTTTAAATTTTAAAAAAATTGCTGATTTAAGCTTTAAATATAATTGTATTAGATTCCCCAGTTATTTATGTTCTAATTTAATAAAATAAATCTTTAAAAAATTTATGATGTAATAACTGATAAATGAAAAAAATACATTTTTGATTTATGGTGTGTGTGTGTATTATTGTTAACACTATACAAATAATTCATATTTACTGTATAATATTTTAAAATTATTCTCTAAAATTATGAATTATGGCAATGCTCTTAATCTAGTATAAACAAATAAAAGTAACCGTCTCTTATCAATAATGGCCCATAGTTCAAGAAATGCATGGATTAAAGGTCAATCACTGTAATGATATAAAAATTAACTATATGCACATACTCTAAATCAGGTCCCATATCCAGTGTTGTTTCTGCTTCAACAATGCAAGCAGGATGAGGAGCAACACTGCTAGAAGTTGTAAGTTGGCTTGGACTGATTTGAATGATGATACTCATAATTCAATGTTTTATGCTGGTAATAAATTTATTGTAAGGAAATAACTCCAGTAATTTCCAGCACAAACTTACAAATGTCTTATATTATTTTTAAATTCAAGACATGATTAATTTTATGAAGTAAATAGTGATGAAATTGGATGAATCAAAATTCAGCTTCATTTCACATTAATATCTAAAAAAATAAACAAACAATAAATTACTAATAACCATAAAAATATCATAAATTAAAAATTTATTTTACTGCATGCATAAGATTGGCAATTATTATTTATTAAAACAACATAGTCATTATTATCTTCAACAAAATTTCTAATAAATATAGTGAAACCATAACTTTTATTTTCTGAAATTCCAGTATCTATGAATTCAGTGAACCAACCGTAAAATATTCCTGGATCTAATACTCTCAATCCTGTTATACTGCTGAGTTATCCTACTGCTCTGAATAATCAAAACTTGATTTTGGGATGAATTTTTCTCTCACATATTTTATTTATTCGATAGTTTGTGAAACTTCTCTACAAATAGTGAATGGAATCTTCCAATAAGTAGTGAATAAAAGTTACTTCATAAAATTTACCATAAAAGTAAATAAAAAAAACATATTGTTTTTTTAATTTGCAAATTGTTACTTCATATTCAAAATCTTTTAGATTGCATATATTAACAGACAGCTACATTTTACAATAAAAACAAAATTTTATGATTTTAACAAATATGAATTATATAAATACTACATATGGCCTACATAGCAGGACTGTGGAGTTGGAGTCAAGAGGAATTTCTGGCCAGAGGAATTAGAGTTGGAGTCGGAAAAAATGTATTGACTCTGACTCCCGCATTTTAAATTTATTTTAGTTTTTTTATTTAAATGAAAGAAAATTTATTATATATTTATTAATTTTTTAAAATCTTTTTATATTTTGTTATAATTCATTTATTTTAAATTTAAATTAAATGCATCAATTTAATTTATTAAATATGTAGTATTCTTTGTAGTATTTGTATTTAGTACAGTGGCATGCCATGACATTTGATGATAGGGAAGCTGTGTTTCAGTAAGAAGCTGAATTCCAGGGGCAATCAGTTAATTGTGCGTCAGTGATAATCTAGGGTCCATTCGTATCATTTGTTCAATAAGCCAGTAAAAACTGCAGACTTCTCTAAATGTATTTTTAATATCACAATTACATTCTGAATCGCTAGCCATGACATAAGGGCTACAATTAAAAATAAAATAATAAACACTTACTTGGTGAAATAAAATGTGTGGTGGATACCTGGTACAAAATATTCTTCAATTGTATGAATATACTTTTAAAGAAAATTATAATTAAATATAGCTTTGTAAAGTAACGTAACATAAAATATTCTTTACTTTTTAAATCTTAAAACAATCCATTTAGTCAAACAGCTCCCTACGAGTGGCTAATGGATAGAATCAGAGACGGCACCATGGGGATTTGGCAGTCTGTGTGTATGCACGCACTGCCAAATCCCCAGGGTGCCGATACTGGTCAATGTCAAATACCTCTTTTGTCGCATCACTAATACTCCTCAAAGGACGCAATAGGGTTGTTGTAGATTTTAAATGTTTCTCACCATAGCTGTAAAAATCTAAATATGTTAAACTTAATAGTCATTTGTTTTCTAACTAATTCATTTTAGGACCAAGTGTCCTCAGAAATTTCTAAAATTTACAACTTTTCGGTCACTCTTGTTGAACTGGAAAAATTCTGTCTTTATTACATCTAATATTTCGAAGAAATCAGTCCCACTGTACTCGGTTAGAGATTGGTTCAGTTAAGATTTGTTTAAGTAAAATTCTGGCTCTTTCAGCAAGATTTTATTTGTCCCCAATTCCCTAATCTCTTAATTATTTAACTACTTCTTAAGTAGAAATAAGTCGAAATCGGTTACTATGTACTCGAATATTCGTAGTCTTGAGAAAAAAGTGGAAAAACAAATTTTTGTGACAATGGATACATAAATCATAAATTTAAGGAAAATAAATTCTAGAGCTTTTTATGTACCTTGTGCATCTCTCATTCATTAAGTTTAGTAGTAAATGATGTTACCAAANTGTACTCGAATATTCGTAGTCTTGAGAAAAAAGTGGAAAAACAAATTTTTGTGACAATGGATACATAAATCATAAATTTAAGGAAAATAAATTCTAGAGCTTTTTATGTACCTTGTGCATCTCTCATTCATTAAGTTTAGTAGTAAATGATGTTACCAAAGTAACAGTTAATTTTTTAACATTGTACAAGAATTGTACATGTTTTTTGTGCATCCCCTTATAGATGGAACATACGAAATTGTAATATCACTGGCTTAACATTGAAATCCGTAATATAAGATGGGAGAGCGGAATAAAAATATCAAATATTTTAATGGATTTTTTTTTAACTTCTGTCAACTCTACAGAACTATCATAAAAACATACCAGTAAATTTCTATTGGTTGGGTTAAGTTATAAATCTACTTGCGATTCACTTAATCGGGTGAGGGCGGCCAAATATCTAGCAGGCAGGCTGGTAACAGCCTAGAATCGGTCCAGGATAGAATCATTGGAAGTGTTATATGTGTGTAGCTTCCACCAGCTAAACCAGGTAAGGTTGGTTCTCTATAAAGCGCATGTAATGCATATAATCTAGCTGTTTGGAAGCTGACTCGGTTTCAACAATACAGCGCTTCCATTCCGCCACTGATATTCGAATATACCATAGCAATCTTATCATTTTTTTTCATGTGTAATATAGAAATTTTAATAAGATACATAATGCGGTTATAATAAAATATTAATTTTAATAAGATACATAATGCGGTTATAATAAAATATTAATTTTAATTAATCCAAAATATGTTAAATTATGAAAATAATCGCGTAATATGTATTTATTTTTTAGAAAATACAAGGAAAGCAGCGCTTCCACCGCTTCCAATGACAGCACATCACTGGTTTAGTAGTTAAATTATTTTGACCCAATTGAATTTGAATATTTTTGAATCATTCCTTTATTGTCCCTGCTCTAAATAAGTACTCTATTTTTCTGAATGAGCCAGACTAATTATCAGAGTACATATTTTTCTTTTCTGAACAAGGGCTGAAGTAGCTAGCTAGATCGCACACTTTTTAGCTGGACTAACTCTTCTGGAAAGGGGAAATGCAAATGCAAATGCTGTCAAATATATGTAGATGTAGAATTTTATTGCCCCCATTCTCTTCTTATTAAATATTTGTTAAAAATTAATTTTTTTATACAAATAAATATTAATGTAAGTTAAATATTAAAAATACTAACTATAAAAGTATTTGGGTAAATGTCCCAGGCTCCTTTCAGAGTTCAGACTAGGGTATGAGCACCCTATTCTGAACTCTGAACCTTATAAGCACCTCTGCTCCCTATAAAATAATTTGGTATTTAATTTTGCTGGAGTTGGGAGTCAGAATCAGAGTCGGCCTACTAAAATTATCAGGAGTCGGAGTCAGAATCAGAGTTGAGTATTTTTTATGACTCTGCAGCCCTGCTACATAGTATTATCTACTTGTTTATATTTACACATAAAAACACTGGAAAAGTTTCTAGGAACCAGAAGATATTTATTAGATTAATATTTTCAAGAAAATGTTAATCTCACTACTTAATTCTTTCATCATTTTTTGTATGTATATAATACATAAATACCATTAGTTAAGTTTATATTTATAAACTTAACTAACAGAGTCAATAGATTTACTGAAGATAAGTCACCTTACTATATTCTTGTTCATAGTATTTTATTAAACTGTAATATTAAATTCATGTAGGGAAATGTAATATTGCAATATCTTTAAGTCAAATATTTACCGAATAAAAAAATATTTTCAATCATACTAAACTTTCCGTGTATGATTAAGAAGATCATAAATTCATTTATGTAGTAGTAAATTAGCTTCATATCTGGATGAAATAATATTTATTTGTTTGTACTGGTATAACTGGAAGAAACTATTTATTTTCTTGTAATTATACAAGGTGTGACAATTTAATTCCAGGACTGGTCGTGTAGCACTGCAGTTTCAGAGTGCAGAAACTTATCTAAGCTTGTCATAATAGTTCAACCATATGGCTACTAGTCTGCAAAGATTTGTTCATGTCTTGTAACTCATTCTTTTTCTGTACTCCATTCACATATTGCTGTGAGAAAGTGCTGTCACATTTTTGTCATGGAACAAAAAGTGAACATTAAGTTTTGTTACAAGTTGGGTAAAAGCGCAACAGAAACGTATGCCCTCATCAAACAAGTTTATAGAAATGATGCCCTATCTTATTCTCGTGTTTCCAAGTGGTTTGTGCGTTTCAGTGATAGTTGGGAAGACCTTGAGGACAATGCTCGCCCTGGATGACCTCAATCAGTTCAAACACCAGAAAACATTGAAAAAATCAAAGACTTGCTCAATATGACCGTCAAATGTCTATTCAGATGATAGCAGAGATAACTGGTATCAATCTGGAGACAGCTCGTCCGGTTAGGCCTCGGTTTGCAGCAAGAGGAAGCTGGGTACTACCGCACGACAATGCCCTCCCACACACTGCAACTGTTGTCAAGGAGTTTTCGGCCAAATGTGGCATTGTGGAGTTGAACCACCATCCATACTCACCAGATTTGTCGCCTTGTGATTATTTTTTGTTTCTGAAAATCAAAATCACATTGAAGGGACAAAGATTCAATGACCTGGAGGACATACAGCACAATGCGACCAAGGAATTGACAGCTGTAAACAGAAGTGACTTTGCCGAGTGTTTCAAGAACTTGTACAAGTGTTGCAAGAAGTGCATCGCCCTCCAGGGGAATTACTTTGAAACATATTAAAAGGATTTTTCATTATATGTTCTTTATGTCCTTTTATTACTCCAGTCCTGGAATTTAATTGTCACACCTTGTATACGCTACATAGCTACATGCAAATGTTAAAGTTGCTGATATTATGTACAGCTTATATTATACTTGTCCACAATGCAATCATCTTGTATTGTGAACAAAAAGTCCAATCACAAACCACCATGTCAGTTTCTCCCAGTTATATCATGATGAAAGTATATAGGTGTTTTATTACACATTTGGCATAGTCAAGTACTCTTCAAAAACTGGAAGGACTCACTTAAATAAAGACGTGATAACTTA